AAGTATGCGGTATGTGGAGACAAGGGGGAATTTATGAGGTTCAACCTCACAGTCTTGGAACCAGGCTTCCGGGCACTTCCCCACTGTTGTGAAGTTCCACTGCTGCAGAACCTCAGAAAAAGATAGGAAGTGTTCTTCTTAACTGTTATTTGGCTACCACATCAGATCCCAGATTGATTTTTGTCTACATGCATTTGGACTCGTCCTCAAACGTGGGAGGCAATCACCCTTTTGGTGTGGGACTGACTGTGTGAGCGCGCCATTAGGTCTATGGTGGATTCCTGAAATTGTCTGCTCACTTGATGATATACGAATGACAACTGTAGGCACCTCAAGAGGACAGCACCAACAGCTGGCAGATCAACTCTGGACACAGCTTAGCCACAAGTAGACCGGCCTGCCTTTAGTAATTTTTTGACGGTGAGGCAAGGATGTTGGAGGTTCGGTGGTTTAATGATCAGGCGGCTCCTTGGCAACAGGAGACATCCAAAAGGGGCTGGCAGGGCGGCCAGTTGATGGGGTACCCTGATGGGAAACAAGTAGTGGCCGGAGTTCACAGTCAGCGCGAACCCTACCGGCAACAAAGCAGAGGTGATTGACTTTTAGGTTTAGGTTTAATTAAATATCGAGCCGAACATCAGAACTGAAAAACAAGAATGGCAAAAGAGGCGCAAGCTGAGGCTCCAACTTGCGCTCATAATAGTACAAATAGTGCCCGTGACGACGTAACAATCTAGTAAAAGCCAATTATTAGATTCTCCTTTCCTTATATTTTTTTTTTGTTAAAAGTCCCAAGAAAGACATTGAGGGGGTACAGAATCAAAGCTTGTAATATTCCCAGAACACTTCGAAATGAGCGAAATATTATCCATGATATCCGTAAACGATAATCACACGCTTGTATTTTCAGCAGGTGGCTATATTTTGTGTTTCAACCGACAGATTCTGGCAAGCACTTCAAAATCAGCCATCGAGTTGGCACGACACATCTCGAGATATTTGCCGGTGGCCAAGGGTACAGTGATTACGATCGTCGTCACTAGGTGGTGCCAGCTTTATCGTCAGCGCGTTACAATTCTGCCAAGTGGGAATGCCCGCGGTACTGTGTACTAGACCCACTGATCTATCTCTGTGTCTATTTGCTCGATCGCGTTTGGCCAGGTCCGCCTATGGACAAGAATGCGGCCATGGTCGGCCACCTTTTTGTTAGAGTTATATTATCTCTAGCCATCATAGTAATATGGCGGACAACGCTATGGAGGCAGGCTGCCCTATTGAAAAATCCACCAGACCGGTTTGGTGTGTCCTAGTGTTTTCTGGCGTTAACATCAGGCCGGTCTGTCGTGTTCTGGTGCGCACATCAGGCCGGCCTGATGTGGTCTGGTGCGCACATCAGGCCGGCCTGATGTGGTCTGGTGCGCACATCAAACCAGACTAATGTATTCTGGTGTGCCCCCCAGAACACGTCAGGCTGGTTTGATGTGACCGTCACACCATCCTAGTGTGGTCTGATGTGCACATCAAAACACACTAGGCTGGTCTGATGTGCACACCACAGCACACTAGAACGGCATGATGTACACACTACACCACAACAGACCAGTCTACTGTGCACACCAGGGCACACTAAACTCACCTGATATGCACACCAGGGTGCCTCTGGTGACATACATTAAGGATATATGTCTGGAGTTGAATGAAAACATGTTTTTTGTAAAATTAATAGGATGTATAGAGCTCAAATACAACATTTTATTTTGTAAGGTGCTTAATTGAAGGGGCGTTGCAATTGATTCAGTTTGAATATGTACGAATTCGCGCGATCGTGCACTGACAGTGTAACATGTACAGTAAAACCTTGTTAATTCAGCCCCCACTAATTCGGAAATTCAGATAATTTGAACTGCCGATCCGGTCCCGTCAAACGTATGTATTAGTCAATGGCAGCAAACGCTCATTAATTCGGAAGGAACGGTGCACAGTGCGGTTAATTCGGACAAATTCGGCATCTGGCCCTAGCTACCGTCCGTTCCAAAGGGTATAATCGCTATCCATCCGAGGTGCACACGTGATTTTTCCGGTTATCCCATGGCTCTTCACTCTTCCGGTTCTCCGTGTTTCGCACCAGTTTTGCTCTGTATTGCTGTGCTTCAGCGCGTTACTCTCCTGGCATGGAAGCGGCAGACGCATAGCTGCAACGGAAAAAGGGTAGCACAAGTGAGCGACGACCGGAATGGCAAAATCCTGACACGTGGGGCTATTGTTCCCGAGCGTGCCGATAGCGAGTGACAGTCACGTTTTGTGCCTCAACGCGGGGATCCTAAAGCCCGCCATTTTAACAGCTATCTTATCCCTCAATTTTTCGCCGGCCACCCCCGCGTTGAAAAATGCAACGCGACTCGCACTCTCGCTATCGGCGCGCTCGGGAACAATAGCGCCGGGTGTCGCGATTTTGGCACTCCGATTATTGGACAGTTGTGCTACTCGTTTTCCGTTGCCGCTGTACTAGGCTAAGAATTTAGCGACGAAAGTAAAAACACTGAGGGCCTTGAAGGACGGTGCCTCTCGACAAGTGACGGAAAGTTACGTCAAGAGAAGCAGTTTGGCCACGTACGTGAAAATTGAGGCAGATATCGAGAGCGAGAAGTTCAACGCGAAAAGAAAGCGGCCTTGGAAGGTGGTGCACCCGAAACTAGAAGAGGCCTTGCTGTGCTATCTTGTCGGTCCACGGGATGCGTAGCTCCGACAGTGCGAGTGCGGTGGAGCACTCGACCACGCTAAGGAAAGTCGCCGTCTCCGCCCAAGTATTGTCCAGAAAGCAGGCGGTAATAACAGATTTCTTCTCAAAATAAAGGTATGTCACAGGGAAACGTTTTCGCGCTGTTCTCTTTGCCCTTTCAATGTTTCGACTTTCGGATAATTCGGACATTTTTGCCGGTCCCATGAGATCCGAATTAACGAGGTTTTACTGTACCCGTACGTAAGGCACCGACCCACAACTTCCATTGTTGCTGTGTAATCTCAAAAATAAAAGTGGCATATCTCTTCTCACTTTAGCAGAACTTGATGACATAGTCCACGGCCACAGGGGGGGTACCTCGTTTACCCATCAGATAAGCTATAGCCTTTGCAAAAACTTTAGGAATCATCCCCAGAGCACGCCAGCCAAACGCTGCTCGTGGATTGGGCACGAACAGGGCATCATCGCACGGCTTGGACTCGAGAACAATGAAAGGCTGTGTACAGAATTAGGTTAGTGCTCGTGTTCATTCACTGCAACGACGGAAATTGCCGAAGTTTAACAATGTCTAGGAAGAGCACCCGTCCTCTACATTGCATACCCAAGTCCGTGGCTATGACGAACATTAGAGGCATAAAAGTGTGGCACCAGAAAATGTGACCGCTTGATCAGCGTGCGAGTTGAGGGGTTGAAAACGGATAATTTTACTTTAATTTTTAGAGCTACTGCTAGTATGCGGATAGAGAAGTAGCACATTTTTTACTCATTATGAGCCTCAAAGATGATTTCAGCACAATATTTAGCAAGTGAGAAAATGGTTGCACAGCCCTTTTAAAGCTCATGCATCAGAACTCCACCTCATAGGACTAAGCTGTTTAGCCACTGAAGACAAGGAGTTTGAATTCATATATCAAGTTTATTACTTGAAAAACATATTCTCAATAGATAAGCCAAGGGGAATTAAGAACCAAAAATTAAGAGATTGCATAAGTTTTCTTGCAAATATTTGTGTGAATTAGCCTCAAAATATTGATGGAAAAGTTTAAACTTTTCTATCAAAATTTCGAGGCTAATTTTTTTTTTAATTCGGAAAAGCATATTTTAACTGATTTTATAACCAAGCCATAGTTTTCATAAACAATGCAAGAATCTGTTTTTGCCAACATATCAGTGCACAATATTGATCTTTTATCCTACTGTAAAATACCAGTCACATGCTTATGGACTTTCAAACGTGTGAAAAATAGGAACCCAGCAAGTACTTTTGAAATACTTGAAAAAATGGCCTGTAACCTTTCCACAGCAGCCATCTTCCAGTTCAGAATTACCTCCAAATTTTGGGTGGGTGTACTTTTGGTATTTTACATTGAATGTTACAGGATGTGAACTAAGCTTTTCTTTAATCTTGAGCCTTATGAGCAACATATTCATTGAATGTATTCTTTTGTAACTATACTTTGTCTCAGCTTCGATCCGAGCGCGGCCAATGTTCCGAGCCGAAGGGCCAATAAAACAGCGAAAGAGGCACAGCGTCATGGCGTGCTCCCTGCAGTTGATAGGACCAGCCGGTATTCGCCGTCTCTGTGCGTGCTCCTCCGCCGGCTAGTCCTATTAAGCGCAAAGAGCATGCCATGACGCTGCGCTTTTTGATTGGTCCTTCGGCTCATAACATCGGCCGCGCTCGGACCGAAGCTGAAACGAAGTATAGCTTAACCATAAAAGTGCTGGGCATACCTCATTAATCTTTTTCATAAAGATTTGGAATTTTTGCAAGAAAAAACCTACTGGTTCGCTCCACCAACACACACGGTGAAGCAATGTCTTCTTCACGAAGCAAGCACAGACCAACATTGGTAGGGGGATGCTCAATTTCACACAAAAAAGGCATTAAACTCTCTCCACAAATCAATTCCTGGCACAGCAACAGGACACTAGCCTCCACTGCAAACACTCTGAGTACTCTACAAAGCTTGCCGTCACTGGCTTCAAGGTACTCAGAGCAAGTCTTGTCTGGCCTTCGGTACTGGGCACTGTGCACAATGATTCCATTAAGCCGGGCCCTCAGGTACTCACTAACTAATGCTACATGACCTACTGTGTCTTCTATTAGCACCTTTATGCAATTTTCGAGCACAGGGCGTGGCAAAGGTGCACCCAACACACGCGATTGGTGCTGCTCTCCTCGTTTACCCAAAATTAATTCTTGCTGGCGTTTCAAGAAAAGTGGAAGTTTCACTATCCGTGTTAGTGACTTTAGTACCTCTCGCATGATGTAGCGTTCGGCTATTTGCTGAGGCACACCTTTGGCTGCAGAAACAAGCTTTAAAATTTCACCATTGCCCCCTTCGAAAGGAAATGTAGAAGTGACCCACAACGGTCCGGTCATTCGCACTGATTTAGCGAGGTGAACAAGCTGGTGAATGTTAAATGTTAGGTGATTTTCACCATACAGTGTAGCAACTTCTTCTACAAACTGCTTGAGTAATCTTTCAGCGAGGATAATCTCGCACTCTTGAATAGTCGTCTTCAACAGCATAAACACACTTTGAGAAAGAAGAGAAAAATGTGTTAGGTATCTTTGCGGAAGAAGATTTTGGAGGGTCGGCACTCCATAATACAGAAGCCAGTATTTCCATTCAGTGGCTTTCCAAAATGATCGTTCTGAAAGTGGTCTGGGAAGCCTTGTGAAAGAGATTGGAGGGTGAATCTTTACGATTTGCTCATCGAGCTCTTTGAGCCTGTTTCCAATATACCACCGCTGTCCAGTTGAACACAACCAAAGATCCATCAGTTGTGAAACTACGCCTTCCAGAACACAATGCAAATAATCTGGGGGGAAACCCCACACCATGTCCAGTGAGCGCAGCTTAGCACAGGCTGATGGTCCCTTTATGCCGTCAACAGGACGTCCCCTTGCAGCCGCAATAGTCATTGCACTGATCACCGTGCTGTGGGATCTCTCTACCATGTCTGGGCCTTCGAAAGTGTATTTCACTGTCCCTGAAAAGCAGAAGCATGACAATAAGTTTTTCCTCTTGACTTTACTATAAAAGGTGAAAGCCTGGGCAAAAAGCTGCGGTTACAGCCTGACAAGGTTCTACGAGAATTATGTTTCTTTGACAGGCAGCTAAATTAAAAGCCATAAAGTTGCCTTCATCGAGGACAAAATTAAGACCAAACAATTGCTTTGGCCTTATGTTTCATGTAAAAATGAACAAGCTAACACTTTGTAGTATGGCTGCAAGAAGTCTCACCGTCAACAAGTTTCCCTCTCTGAAAACACCACGAACACCCATAGTAGCCGTTGTACTGTTTTGCATTAAGCAAAGCAGCCCGTGCAGGTGAGTCAACGCAGCAGCACAGGACACTGACCGTCGACTGCACAATTTGTCCAGCAGAAGTCCATGTCAGCGTGCCAATCGCATTGAACTTTTCCACAAAGGTCTTCAAGTATAAGTGAGCAGGTGGATGTTCTTTGGCGAACCACACAGCGGCCACTAGAATGTTCTTCCAACGATGTGGGATAGGTAACTCATTCAATGAAACTTGTATTGGCCACAAGGACCCTTTACTTGACCTGAAAACTGGTGATCCGTCACTGTTTACAGTTACAGTCAAGTCACTCCATGTCATCTTATTTTCACTGCGGCATTTCCTGTAGAGCGCACCATCTGTGATATCCCGGTATAGTCCTTGATGAGGCGAAGAAGCAAGTTGCTTTAGGTTCTTGCCTACCAGCTCCCCAGTGTGTTTCAGCAAGTGCAGGAGTTGCTGCTTCAGGTCCGTCGTTACAAAAAAGCTTCCTTTCTTCAATAGCTGTGCCAAAGTCAGTACTTTTTCGCAGATGGCACAGCGCTGATGCTCAATTCCACAGCTTGTTGTCAAGAAATGACATGTTGGGCAGTAAGTATGGACTTCCACTCTCTTTGACTGCTGAAGCTCCCAGAGCTTTCTGAAACCATACTTTGTGGAAGGAAACACCTCTTGGCCTAACACTGCATTCATGAGCTTTAACAAACCATCAACCTGAGTCCATGGAAGGCCAGCAGCTGCAACAAATGTTAGGATGAGTAGCATGGCCTGTAGCACAGTGGCAGATTGGTGAGGCAGTGTTGTTTCAGAGTTCACCTTAATGAATTCTGAAAGATCCCCATCGGGGTCAGAAATGTCTGGACACCTGCCAAGATCACATTCCTCCTGAGCACCCTGTTCAGTTGACAAGCTTATGTCTTCCACATGCCCAGGGAGCTGACTGTCAGAGGTAGTACTCTCCGTTTGCAGACTTGGATCATGCTCTTGGCTAGCATTGTTCTCGGCAGCATCTTCTTGGGCCTCTATCTCCGGACTCCACTGAAAAAATATGAAGCAAAAGACAGTTTAACAATGAGTGCATATTCAGCAGCGAAACGGGTCCATATTATATGAGCGAATTGCACTTTAACGATTAAGTATAATTTTCGCAAACAACGTTTTAGAGAATAGGCCGTTTGCAGCCGGCAGCAACCCAGGCTTCCATACAAAGCCCTAGGGTTTACTGCCAAGAGTTCGGCAAGGTAGGCTACCAAAGAATAGATCTGTTCACTAATTTGAATGCCGCTGTTGGCTAAAGTGTCATTCAATGAAATGTTTTGTTTTTGGTCGCTAAAAAGTCTTTCAATCTAGAGTACCTCAATATTGTTAGCTGTGCCTGCAAGAGCGGAAACATTGTTTGGCGGGGCAAGTGCCACCGTCTTCTGTCATCTGCTCATGGGGCCGCCATATCCTCTCCCACTCAGCATATTGGGTGTATGCAAAACAGTGCGTATGAGGCTATAAGGGAGCGGTCGATTAAGATACTGGGCAGTATCGCTTGAAAGAGAAGTACAACAAGGACTACGTGGCACAACTATATAAGAACATGTTTCTTCATACAAGCAATCCTCGATCATAATCAAATGCAAGCAACCGTCAATCGGGCTGTCGCCAACAAGTCTATGTTACATGCAGTCTAGAATGCGATCTTAAATTGTTAAACAAGCAGATACTTGATGGGAAGCTAGTGTTACACTTTCTTAAAGGGATACTGAAGCGAAACTTGAAATACACCTATTATGGTCAGAAATAGGTTCAATATGATCAATGATATTCATAAATCATAATCGCGCGTTTGTATTGTGAACGGATGGCTATATTTTTCACCCTAATGGGCCCGAATGGGCGCGCGCTCAAAAATCGGCCATCGGAGAGCGCGATGCGTCTTGGGATATTGGGCGCATTCGTGACGTCACTTGTGCCAGACGGGAAAGGCTACGGCGTGAATGTTGTGGTTACGAGCGTTGCCACTTGGTGGCGCGTCGACGATTTACGACCTGTGACAACGTGGCCGTTTGAGATGTGCAAGGGCTGCATGCACGCTGCACCACGGGACCACGGCAAGTCGGCAACCACGGCAGCACTGACAAAACCAGCTCTGAGGCCGGATTCTCAAAGCGAATTCACGACGAAAAAAGTGCGTACGACAAATTTGAGAGAAACCCCGTGCTCTCGAAACGAAATTGTCGTAACCTTTGCGCAGGTTTCGACAGAATCCTACGACAGCTCCGAAGCTGTCTTACGCACTTTTTACGATCAAATCAACAAGGCCGACAGCGTCGCTCAGTTACTTGGTATCGGCCACCAACGGACATTTATTTTTCTTCGTGCTCTTCTCGTGCGTCCCGACTTCAACCAGCAAGAAAAAAGGAAGCAGTACTTAAAACAGACCACGACGATCAAGAACGCAGGATCCACAAACACACGAGAAGAGCTACAACAGCCACGATTCTGCCGACCGAGCGAGCTCGGCTCCGGCGGTCCTTGGCCAAGACCGTCTGTCCATGACCGGCTGGCCTGCTGAATGGAATATGCCCGCGCGACCCTTGTGGACCCTTACCGGATGAGTAGTTTGATCCCTGAACTAAATTTCAGAGGTCAATATTTTCCCCTTGTCATCTCGATCTCCTTGTTTTCCGAGACAGCGGTGACGAACGCTGTCGTCGAAAAGGGACTCTCATTGATTCTATCTCCTTGTTTTGTGTGATATAGAACTCAAATAAAAGCCATACGGATTACCTTGGCAACTCGGTATGTACACTCTGTTATTAGTATGCCATTTTTATTCTGACTCGACGCTACGTCAGTGTCGAGCTATAGCAGTTCGTGGGAGCTACGCGATGTCGGTCTAACCTTTCTTTGCCGAGTGTCATGTCAGTATCGAGTTGCAATCGTAAAAGATCGTTCCAGAAGCGCTTACCGAAACGCGGTCTAACAGAGCGAATCCAGCACTTCGATCAAACGCGCGTGTCCGCTCCGAGTATGAACAGGTATTTGGCATTTGCGTGGCTCTTGCTGACACCCTCGTAGTTCAAACATATCCTTTTTATCGTCGGCTTGCAGCTCGCGACTCGCAGCAACTAATACCGGCCGTGCCAGAAGCATGCTCGGGCCGTGTCGTGCAAAGAGCCGCAACGAGAACGAGCTCACTGTGGCCAACTACGCTTTGGCTTTCTCCGCCAAGGCTTTGCAAATGTGTTCAGGCCTAGGCGAATTCTGCCGGCACGCCGTATTGCCGCAGAACGGCGCTGCTATTTTGGCACAAGTGATGTCACGAGAACTTCCCCCCATCCACCAGATGAGAATTTGAAATCGTTTAATTATGTTTAAAATTAGTTCTCCTGTGTTTTACAGCGCAATATTTATATTTCCGAGGTGGTGCCTGTCCCTAGCCCATATTTATGCAACAAGATCGGCGCTAAAATTTCGTTTCACTACCCCTTTAACATTGTGCTACCGTCTTCACAAGTATCACACCCAATAACCTTGTCAATTGCTCGTAAAGACGCCAACGCACCTAGCACACGACAAAGATGGCTCAACTCTGGGAGAGGCGCAGCCAGCAACATGGAGGCACTCTACAGGGTCCAATTGAGAAAAGTAAGCCCTGCTTTTTGGTTTGCACAAAAAAACTATGGATCGTCCAATGCTGAAACTGCCAGAATGTAACCTAGCGGTTGAAGCAAGATGCCAAGGTTTGGGAACGTAGCATGATTGAATTAAAAAGTTATGAGTAACCATAGAACATTTTTAACGAAAAAATGGCGGCAGACGGAGCTCGCGAGTACATGGAAATGAATAGGAGACGCTATCGGGACACGACCCCATTTCCTCATTGAGATCTTCAGGAAATTGCTTATAATTGTTCAAAAGAAGTATTGACCTTGTGACAAATAGTATATTGTAATCAGGTTGTGTTTTAGATTTACCTTTTCTGGCTTGATGCTGTACCGTCCTAGGCTTTTGGTAGGCGTCGCAAATAAATAAATAACTTGAATTCATCGACGCTATGCTCTGAAACTTTGGCATCTTGCTCGGATCACTAAGGTTACATTCTAGCAGAGTTTTAGCAATCGGTGATCCGTAGTTTCCTTATGCGGGCCAAAAAGTTGGGTTTACGCTTCAAGCAAAATTTGGAGGATCTCTTTTCAAATGCGTTTAAAACGCATGAGCACTCGTTCCGCCCTTGCACTGCACATGCGCTAAGAATACCCTTCTCCAAGGATACCCTTTCTCCACTTGGCGCTCTTTCAGCTACGCCTCCGGCTTCACTCGGAAGTACAGGGTGTCACAAGAGAAAATTGACAGGTTTTTTTTTACCTCAAAAATAAACTAGGCATCGCCGAATGCTCATTCTTTGCCCAGAGGTAGCGCTAGAGGTCACAACCAGATGCCAAAGTTTCAGTCCGATCCGATAAATTAATCAAAAGTTATAAGTGATTTTCAGAAAATTTCAATGGGAAATGGAGTTTATTTTTGCCCGTTTTCGGTTTCTGGTGCCATAGAGCCCCATGTATTCGAAAACTTTGTCGGTCGCCATTTTCCCATTGAAATTTTCAGAGTGTCACGCATAACTTTTGAATAAGGCGTCGAATTGGGCTGAAACTTTGGGATCTAGTTGTCACCTCTAGCACTACCTTTTGG